GGCATGACGTATGTGCCTTTCACTAAGCCCACACCCACTACCTTAACGACTAATAGTAATTATTTTATGCAGAAGATCGAAGGTGATAATAAAAATCCTTCTTATGCTTTTATTGTTTCACTCAGCAATGAAAAAAATTCACTGAATAATAATAATAATAGTAACAATAACAAAAACAACAATAACAGTAGTGGTAGTAGAGAGATTTCAAGCCCGAACAAACCGTATTTGTAAGACAGAACGGTTTGTAGACAGTTCAACCAAGAAGCGCTGATCGGCTATTTCAACTATTTCCCAAAAGAAAATTAAAAAAGTTTTCTTCTGTTCCGCAGGTCCAACAAAACGATTAAATATAAACAGTAATTTGTAATAATTGTGGGCTTAAAGTCTCTGATTTCCACGAGTTCTATAAAAGTGTTGAGAAAGCTCAGAGCAATCTAGGCGAGAATGTCGTAGTGAAAATAATAATGTAGAGCATTCCACAGAAAATGTTACGATTCAATCGATTCCTTTTTCAAATAAACTTCAGCCCAATGATGATTTGAACGAATCTAATGATGAGGATCCTTTCGAGATGCCAATAAACGAGGCGGATAATAATCCATCATTACTCCTAAAAGAGAACGATTTCAACGACAAACGTTTTAGCCATAATGCTGCGGAAGAAGTTAGGAATGTCATGAATTACAAAGACGAAAAATTTGATGACGTTGGCGACCCATTTAATAGCGAGGAAACAAAAATTGGCAACAAAAAAGAAAATACTAAACTATCAAAAAAGAAAAAATCTATCAAGTCTGCAAGAACGATTAGAATGAAAAATGCTTCGCCTAAATTACCATGGAGTGCAACTGAAAAAGGTACAAGAATATTGAGCAAAAGCGAAAGCAATGATTCAAAAAAGACAAAAGTGAAAAAATCTCTAGAAGCTCCAAAAAGTTTTGCTATCGATGAGGAGATAGCTAAGTTTATGAAACTAGAATGTGAGCGATGCAAGTTGGAACTTACGTACTACTTACGCGCTCTTCAAAGTCATGGTCGCAGAACATAAAATCAAAGGTTACGCCCGAGTTTGGGAGCGAAATACAATATTTGTGAACCTTTGACCTGGTAAATATGATTACATCGACTTGAGTAAATGGTAGTCGGAAGGGGCCAGGTCGTGAGAATACCGCAGGTTGCGGTAAAACTTTCCAGCCTAAAATGAGGATCACTTTTTGACTTGCTTTTGCTGGAGACATACGGACATATACAAATTTTATTGTTTGCTCGATGTCTCGTAAACTACTTTCTATCTTCTAGCTCACTGCATTTCCATTCCAAGCCGACTTAGCCTTTTTGTACTTTTAGCAGGACTTCTCCCCAATTAATCCAGTTCAAAACACAGAAAAATGCCGAGTCCATATATTACACTCGTCTCTTTAAACCCACGTTGTTATAGATATGGGTGCTCGAAATTCCGGAAAAGGGCTTCAATACGTTTTATGAAGTAACTAATTTTAGAGAAAGGAACTCATTTGTACAACTAATACAAATAATCATTTTTTTCATATAACTCCTCTTTGAAGAAAGCCTTAACTACATGTGTGTGGAGTGGTCCTAAAAATATTCCAAGTAAATCCATTTCCAGAGTCCAACTTTTATGTCAATGTATAGAATTTCGTTAGAACCTTTGGAAAATTACGAAAAACATAAAATATGGACAGAATATTGAACGGACAGACATTGCACAAATCTAATAGATTTTCTGCTGATAGAAGTGATGCAGTGTATAACAAGGAAGAAGGGTTCTCATTTCTCAAAACTGTAGCGCCATTTACTTGATATCCATCAGTAACTTGGACAAACTGGATTTATAGTTAAGTTTGGAGGAAGTTTTCGCTAAAATCGATAGTACGTTTAAAAATAAATTTTATTCAAAATATTTTCCATTGTTCTATACTTTTCTTCCTTCGCTTTCCGGGAACATGGAAGTTACGCGTACCCTTTCATCAGAATGTCTCCGACAGCACTTTGGACTTTCACTAATATTATTATTATCATTTTTTCAGATTATAGAATAAGTCCTCAGACTAAAAGAAAAGAAATTGAGCACTAGCAGCATAGGAAACAAAATGAAGCTTTTTCGTTTACATTACGTAATTCTTGTTTTCCTATTTCAATGATTAAGAAATGACATGAAAACCTTTATTTTAATCTTCAAATATTTTAGTGTAAAAAACCGCACTATGTGATGAAAAACGATTGAATGGTTGCTGGCGAAATTTAAAAAAAAAACAAACTCAATATTTATTTCGGATTTCAAGGAAAAGTCAAAAATTTTTGAAAATTGAACGAATACGCAATTCAAAATGTCTTCCTACTTTTAGTCAACTTAGGGTTGACCCTTGAATTTCGTAATTTTGTTTTTATTTCACGGTTTCTTGCTTTCTTTTTTTGTTTTTTAATCTTTGCAGCTTCTGCACGAGGTTGTACTTCGATTCTGTCTAGACTTCATTTCCACTTCATGTTTTTTCAATCTTGCTTCATGCTCCAATTGCAGCTTCATTTTCTCCTTCTCAATTCTTTCCTGTTTATCTAAATCGCATTTTTTCAACTCAAACAAGCGAGTTCTGTTTGCTTTTATTTTAGTTCGCATCCTTCTTTCTCTTGCTGCAATTCGAATTTCTTCTCTTCCAATTCCAATCTCTGATGCTCAACTTCTAATCTCTTTTTCTCGAGTGCCAAACGAGACGCTGAATTTTTTTTACTAACTGATTTCTTTTGCTTTTTGTCATAGCCAAATACTGCATTTTCTTCTTCTCATTGAAAGAACATACTGAGTCCTCGCGAACTTCAGAAATTTGTTCACTTTGATTTGTCTCTCTTATGGTTCGTATTAGCGCGCAATCGCGCGTATTGCACACCGGCTATATGTCTTGATTCGGAGTGAACTATTCGACTCTCAGCAACAGAAACTCCATATTCGTCTTTACGCAAAACTTCTTTCCTATATAACCCTTCTTCAGGTTTCTTGCACTTTCCCTCCTCTTTTTCGCTTGCCATACTATCCGATAGATCACAACAGGTACAATTGCTAGCATCGTGGTCGCTATCATTATTATTACAATTGTCATTACTAAGCAACTTGTCAATCATTTCGAAATAAGCCGAAGGATCTTCATCAACGTTATTATTACATGATTTGCTATCATCTGCAGCGAATCAATGTTTAGTTAATTACGTGGAAAAACAAGGCGGGATAAAGCCTAGCGATTAAAATAAGAAATTCATATTTAGTAGTAAAAGACTATACTCGATAAGTATGCAAATACAATAAAAAAAAACTTTTTTCAGAAAAGCAGGAGAAGAATTTTTTGATAAAGAGGAAAAATAAAGGTCTTCATGTTCGTCTTGGAACAAATTTTCAAAATGATCCCTTCCGTGCCACTATGTAATTGCAAATTTTTTCTATGACTAATATAAGCGCCATGGTCCGTTCTGGTCGGACTGTGTCTGTTCCGTAATACTGTATTTTAGAAAGTGCGCACGTGATTTCGTCAAGTTATTTCGTGTTACACGAGTACACTCGTTATCGCTAAATTTTTGAGGCGCAATTTAAATATACATTTTCCAAAAAGGTTGACTGACACAGCTAGTTGACTAAAATTATGTGCCCCAGACTCGACCCGCCTTTCTCAACCAGGAGTTGGTCGAATTATTGAAAACTTGAAAGCATCAATATTACCGCGAAAGGTGTGCGGAGCGTAGGACAGTCGCAAAAGGGAAGCTGAGGAGTCTCGTACGCGTACAATATAATGCTCATAAAAGATATTTCTGTTCTTAAATTGCATGTTATCGCGATGCTTGGAAGAAAAAAAACTAAAAAGCTCATAAGCTACGTTCTCCTCCTTAATTTATTGCCCTGCGATTACGAGCCATTATAGACGCAACCTTCAGATTCTTCCCTTCCAAAAACGATATCCAGCACGTCATATATGGGCAAAGTTTATTTAAATAATCTATAAGGGAAGCAGATACATTAATACGTATACATATGTATATATTTATAGGAGAAATTCAAATTCTAACCTTTAACTGCTTTTTCGCCTCCAAACGCCCGTATAATTGATTCGGAATTATGCGACCGTTTTCGTGCTTTTATAAAATGAAGCCTACAAGCTTGCATTTTATTTTTCAAAGCAATCCACCATTCCTTTTGCAATTTCGGGCACTTTGCGGTGATTTTCTCATAAAACTTTTGTGGTGTGAGTTTCTGCTTCGAAAGAATCATTGAATGAATTGTGTACACTTAATAATAAAATGAAAAGAGAAAGACTTGCCTCAAAGCACTTTGGATGTTTTTTAATCTCTTCACAATTCGTTAGATATATGCTCCTTATCTGATCTCACTGTTGAAATTATTATTACATCGCATTCCTAAAAAAAACCAAGCGAAAGCAACTTTAGTATTAATTCAAGCATTAGTGAAATTTTACGAAAGTTATACCTTTCCTTGGAATTCCTCCTCAGTACCAAGTTTAGGCATTGCTACGTCGGTTTAATGTTATTACGATACAATTGAACTGTCATTAGGAAAACCTTCAAAAAAGAAATAAATGTTATGAAAAACTAAATAGAAGGGATTCTGCTTTTAAACTAAATACAACTTACGTACTTCGCTTCGTAAGGATTACACCACGACGGCGAGTCTTCTTCCTGCATATCTTTACTACGTAATCCGTGGAAGAATATGCCATGTGTTTTGGGTCAATTTGGTGATTCCGGCAGTATATCGCCAAGTTGCTTCTGCATTTCAGCTTCCCTAGAATTCTTTTCCGTTATCATTAAAATTAATTAGGCATTTGAAAATTTACTCATTTATATTTTTTGATCAATTTTATTGAGCAAAATATTTGCATCTAATAATATTATAAAACAAGAAAATTGGCTTATAAATAACAAAAATTTGGATTTATAGTAAGAACGCATAAAAGAAATTGTTTCAAAATGTTTTAAAATTAATTTTTAATAACTAAATCAATAACTTCGCCGCCTTCGAGATCTAAATCAGCCGGCGTGCTATCGTATTCTAAAAGGTCGCCATCGAAACTGTGTAGAAAATAAATTATAAAATAGATATTTCAACTTTAATGTGTAAAATTAAATTACATTAAAAGTTATACCTTAATTTTAATTGATCACGCCGCAATCTTAATTCCTCCTCGCATTTTATATATAAAATAAGGAATTTCCCCTCTTTTGGTATATTTATTTCCAACGGTTTTTTCCACTTATCCGATTGAATTTTTAATGGAATATCATTTACTTTGCGTTGTTTTTGTTGCGTGTCATTAGCCAGTGTTTTCAATCTACTCTCTAAAACACGCCCATCTAAGCACAAATTTTTAACAGAGGAGAAAAATTAATTTGTATAACGATATATGAAATGTATTCAAACCCATTCCATTTACTTACTGATAAATTGATAGACTTTATAATCGATGGAATCTGGAGTATCCTCTGGCGTTACAAAATAATTATCAATATTAAGGACTATATTTCGTATATTAATATTTTCTCTTGCAGCGAGTTTTTCATAAATGTCTAAGAACTTTTGATATTTGCGCAATTTAAACACTTCCGGTTTACCTTTCCATTTGATTTTTACATTTATTTCATGATTGTCTTCGTCGTAGTCCGGATCCAATATTAACGGTCTACTTTCCTTATCACTTTTAGGAGCAATATTCAATTCGTCATCAGAATCTAAATTAATACAAGCTTCTATGCGAGGGGATGCTGCCAAATCGATATATGCACTAACTTGTAAGTCGCGAACAACGTCAACTTGTTGCCTTTCCGAAGCACTGGATCTTTTACTCCCGCAGGCCCTACCACGTCTTCCTATAGAAGCCAATAATGGCACGACAGAATTTTGCTCCCTTAATTCTGGAGAAGCGTTTGCGGTTTCTTTGCATCTCGCCCCACGGCCACTACCGCGACTTTCTATAAAAGCCAATAATGGCACGACAGAACTTTGCTCCCTTAGTTCTGGAGAAGCGTTTGCGGTTTTTTTGGATCTCGCCCCGCGACCCCTACCACGTCTTCCAGTAGTAATTAATGTCTGCACGGCAGGCAGGGCGAATGTCTCGACAGGAAACTTGCTACTTGCAGTTACAATATGTTCCGATTCGTTCTTATGATGTTGCCCTTTACCAAGTCTTGCACTGTTAGGCAAAGCTGTAGCAGCGTTAAATTGATCCGTTTCATCTACAGAAACATTCTCGCTTTCTTTGGATTTTCTAGACCTTGGAATTGTTTTACGTACTTTGCTATGTCCATTTTCTACAATTGAAGGCGATTGTTGCTTAGTTGGTTTTCCGCGAGATGCGCGCGTTCGCTTGGCTACATAATCCTCCTCTACTAGCTGTGTGGGCAACGTGGATAAAAACGATAATTGCGGGGATAAAGATATCTCATCTGCGGACATCACCTCGGCAGATTTTTTGGAAGTCTTCGTTTCCTTGGCTTTCTTTTTCAAAATATTTTCTGGCGTTTTTTTTAACTCTTTCACACTTTTAGTTAAAATAGGATCCATATCAAAATCATCACTCTCATCAAATGCGCCGGAATCTTTTAAGTCAGCCTCATTAAGCTTACTGGCCAATTTCAATTTAGCTAAAAGATTGACTACAATCAAAAAGGCGGAAAATATTTAGTTTCAATCACAAGCCCGACATCATAAAAAAGGATGAACTTACCTTTCTTTAGTTCATTTAAATTGTGGAAAATATCAAAATCCTCACTCATTTTAGCTCAGTTTTTTATGTTTTTAAGAAATTCTTTCAAAATAAAAATTTTAATTTTATTAAAATAGGCAATTAATTACTGAACCTTCTCTTCAAAAATAAAGCTGTCAGATTTTAAGATTTTCTCTTAGATTAAAAATTTGGTTTAATATGTATAACAGGGTGCATACATCCATTACAGGGTGCATACATACATTATTTAATGGCTTAATTTTATTAAGACAAAGAATGCTGATTCGCTAAATATTTAATAGGGAGAAGAAGAATACCAACTTCTATGCGTAATCACGTAAATGAAAGTTAGCTTTCATTTTTAGCTTTGTACCAAAAATAAATGAGAAACAAACCTACTATTTTAATTTTTCCTACGGTTTCAACTCCAGACCGCGCTTTTTCTTATATGCTGCAATTGTTTTATGCTAGAAAATGCAAAATAACAACAAGTTATTATTATTGCTCTATATTTCCTTAGTTATCAATTTAAAATAAAGCCGCAATGATATAAAAATTAAAAAAATTGTTAAACATTTCTTAATAATTTGCCGATATAATGAGAGAAGTAAATCAATTCATAATAACAAAAAAGAAGAGAGCTGATAGGTCATTTAATTATCTCGCTGCTAAGGCTGAAACCTCGTAAAAACTGTGCTCACTTATCAGGTTCTGAAAGTTTGACTAAAATACATTAAAAGTAATAAATATACACATATATTCCGCATTAGCCAAAACATATGGTCTTTTATTACTCAAAACTTTGATCACTTTTTCATTTGAAAAAGGAATTTATTGTGGAAAATTGCTACAATATATATTTTAATCAAAACAGTTCCCATCATTTTCAGCAACCTTTTAAAACATTTTTGGCGATATCATGTTAAGAGAACTTATTTTGGTTTGGCGGCGATCCTCCCACCGATCTTATTTCTTCAACTTTGCGGACCCGCGTGTCAGCCAAGCCATGCACAGATTTGAAAAAGTAGTACTGAGGAGGTGCCATGTGTGCTGACCATGCTGGGTGTGGCACAACTTCCCATTCGATATGCAACAATGTATCCGGAACAACTTTTGCAATAAGTGCCGAGAAAATGGCATTTTCAATCAATTAGTGTCACTGCTTTTAAACCGTTGAACCCAAGACCGACAATTGGGATATGATAGAAACATCACTATAAGTCTCCGAACGTGTTTGGTGGGATTCGGCAGCAGATTTTTTTAAATAGATAAGAAAAATGAATTTGGCAGAAGAAAGAATTTTCAGCGGTTCATGACTAGCGTCGCCGTACGCTGAACACATCACTAATAATAAATGGAGAATGGAACTAAATACAGTGGAAGGTCAAAACGCTGACCAAAATTTTTGCAAATACCTAATACATAAAAAATACGCCCGCGAGAACTGTATTCAAAAGAAAATATTAAAAAAAAAAAAAATAAATAATTTTCTTATTATTACGTTTCATATGTAGCTTATTTACGTTGCTATTGATTTGCAACGAGCCGGACGAGCTTGCAATTTGTTGGGCCATTAGATGCGCTCCGGCACGTCGTGAGATAAGTGAAGTTTTTATATAATTTGGACCTAACATTTTGTTTGCGTTTATGTTCTTACAAATTTAGACAGTAAAATATTTGCTTATGGCAATGTCATCGGTTTTGTAGATAAATCAAATGTCAGTGGAAGTTTTCATTCTTTTCGTGTTAACTTTCAGCTGCGACTTTCCATTAAGAGTGGTTAATTTTTAATTATATTTCAGAAATAAATGCTGGTAGTGTTTTAACTTTAAAAATGAAAAGTAGACTATAAGTGGAGAAAAAAGAAATGAAAAATAAATCTATTCTTCTGAAAGAAATCTGTCAATAAAACTAAACTTGGTGTTTATAAATATATGTATCGATATATAAGTGCCTGTGCCAAGACTAACAACTTTTAACAGGGAAAAAAGTCAATGTACGTCGTCTATATTTCAAAGAAAAAGCACGCAGATTGGTATCCAGCATTTTGGGAAATCTTCCCGAAACAAATCGTTAAAAAATTAAATTTTAATATAAAATCGGATTAACAAAATTGAGAAAGGGATGTCTTCCACTACGTCAATCGTAGAAGTAATCCAACATTATCAACGTAGTATTGGCAGCAGTCAAGACGACGAGGCCAGGGTAAAGAAACGAAATTTTTTTTAAAATAAATTAACATTTTCAAGTTTCATATAGCTATATACACATACTACTCTTACTTAAATGGTTAAGCTTTTTTATATGAATAGACGCTTTGCTTAGTGTCGAATATCATCTACTGAAAATTTTATTGAATAATTCTGCCACATAGAACTCTCGCAAATCAAAAGAACTCTGAAGAAAGAAAAAGTTCCAAGTAACAATCACAAAACAGTGTATAAATATAAAAAAGTAGATGCTGTGTGTTTGCATGTGTGTTAGTGCTCATTGAAGACATGGTCGTATTCGTCGTAACGCGTTTACCACCATATTTTAACACCTTAAACTCTGCCGATAATATACAAAATCAATTTTGAATGAAAATATTCAATTTTTTTTTAAACGCTTACATACATTTGTGATAATTGTTTTAATTTCCTATAGCAAAAGACGCGTGCAAAAATCATTCCTTTTTTAACAGAAACTTTCTGTAAAATCAGCTGTTTTTCATTTGCCTAATACTTAAACAATATTCGTATGTGTTCGTATGAGATTATTTTCGTCAAAACACAGATGTTTTATTTTTAGCCGAAAACATTTGTTTGTTTTTATACATAGAGGTTTAGTTGTTTATTCTTTAGTCATATTTTCTTCTTTTATAAACTGTTGATTGATTTTTCAAACTCTTTTTGTTTGAAAATTATGCGCCTTTCAACCTTATCTAATTTTTTTGTGGATGCATGTTTTTATTTTTGTTGTATTTTGCTATTGATAGTTATTACGTACAAATTAAAATTACTCTTCACATGTTTGGATTTAGATGATATTTTATAAATTATATATATGAAAGAAAGTAGCTAGCAAAATACACACAAACTCTATTCATAGAACTAATTACCCTAGAAAGTAAAAAACTTAAGCAAAGAAAAACCAAAATCAACTTGAGAGTGAGTTAAAAAAAACGAGTTATTTAGAAAATAATTTGCAAAACAATATTGGTCGAGATTATGCTAAACATCATGTTTTTGGAGGTAGCATAATATGAATAAAGGGCAATGATAGCACATTATAAAGCCGAATTGCGGTCACACTTCAATGTTTTCGGAATTTTGACCTTGAAAATAACATATACAGTAAATAATACAAGATGACGAAAAAGATCAAGAAATTTATATAATTATAAGATTTAGTCGAACAATGAATTTTTCTGTACATTACAGCCGGAAATATAGAATTTTTGTGAGCATAAAATTAATTGCATTCTTGATTACCGCTAATATCAATTCCTGTTAGCCATGTCTGTTCGCATGAGTGTGCGTTTGTTGAACTTATCGTTATCAACTCTAAAGTATGTCCATAGAAATTAAATTCAATACAGTATTTTCCGAGCAACCTTTTCAGATTGAAATGGTAAAAGATCACATTCGATCCCTGGCTCATCTGCAGTTAACAAAAAAAAGAGGATTTTTCTTTTTAGTATGTCGACTAACAACTCAATGGTCGTGTCAAGTGCGGTATTCCGATACTCTATAAAGTCAATGCGTTAGGACTTAGGCTTTGAATTTATTTCTCTGACTAAATTAATTAAAATAATAGCAATAATATTTTTATTTTTTTTTTGATTATTTGCTTTAGCTTCTTTTCATTTTACTTCAACAACCTTAAATTTTCCGTTCATAGTTCAAACATAATCTAAATCGGACCAAGCTATATGGAATATTTTTAGTGTTCACAAACCGATATTTTAAAAATTTCACATACCTTGTAATATATATTAAATAAGATGACTTTAATTCACTCTCTCTCTCTCTCTTTCATTGGGCCAAAAAGCACTTATTGAAAACAAACATTGGGGTTGGGGCTGAAAAAAGAATCATCATCATCAAAGAATCACAATCTAGGAAAGAAATTTTGCATTTATAACCATAATCCCTTTGAACTACTAAGATCAATTTGACGGCCTGTTGAGTAACGTGTAATTATAAGGAAAAATATATACATATTAGGACGTTTTCAGTGTGCATGTCCGCATGTTACTAGCAAACGATCAGAAATCATTAATTTATTGTACTTCCACGTTTTCTGTGGCACACATGAATAGCGTTAAGAACCCGATTGTGAAAACCCTACATAAATTTTTCATAAGTTCCCAAAAAAAAAAAGAAGAATTTTCTCACCTTTTTGCATTTATTGATTTCAATAGCTTTTACATTGCATCAACAAATTGTATAAGCTGCCGATAAAAGTGGAACATCTACAGGAGACTGGGGTGGGAAAAACAGTGAACTCTTTGCGTAAATACAATGGAGAGATTGGCGTGGCAGCTAAAACACTAGTAACGAAATGGAAGGCCATGGTAGCAGCGGAAGAAGAGCCCGCGGATGCTGCAACTTCCACATCCAGTGCCCACAGGGAAAATGGACGAGATAGTGGTGAAAATGATGATGAGGAAAGTTATCATCGAAACAACTCTAGTCCTAAAGAAGAGAAAAAAGATAAGGAACAAAATATTGAGCAAAATTACAAAGATATCCGTAGTCATAGCAAAGATATATGCACGAAACCATCCTCTTTACTTGAAAATTCTAGTGATAAAAATGTGAAAAATTCAAACGAACAATACCATAAATCATCATCGTCTTCATCTTTAGGGAATGATAGAGGAAAGGATAAAGAGCGACATCACAAGAGTCGAAGCAGCAATGGCGGCAAAGATAGAGGACGAGATAAGGACAAACGAGACCATAAAGATAAACATAAGGAAAGAGATGAGGAAAGAGATAGAAAAGAGATTAAACCTAAACCTGAAACCACTACACGCATTACGTCTGGCAGCAATAGTAGTAGTAGTAACAATAAGAAGAAAAATGACGAAAAACATAAACATCATTCACAACAACATCGAGAGAAAACTGATAATCATAAGCACAGGGCAGAAAGTAAACAGAAAAGTTCTTCTAGAGATAACGAGAGACGTAAAGAAAGGTCTTCAAACTCTGCAAAAGAAGACGAATCTCCGGAAGGGAGTTGTGGGGCTACCTCGAATAAAAATGAAACTTCAGAGCGTAAACGCCGTCGCAACTCCGACGATGATTCGAATGACTTTCTGTCACCTCGGCCGAAAGTAGTAAAAATGAAAACATCCTCTAAAAAAGATTCAAAAATTGAAAATGAAAACGAAAATGACGAAGAGGGCGGATTTGATTCTTCGACCGGTGCCAACTTCGCTGATGTATTGGGCATGTTAAATGCCCCAACAAAGAAAGTTAAGAAATCGGTAAAGTCGTCATCATCACCGGCTAGTAGCACATCAAAATTATCGAGTAGCAGCTATAATAATTCAGCGAATTCGCCGTATAGCAGTAGTAGCAAAACAAGCGCGTTAAAAACTATGCCAACCTATAATTACACTCCTACTTCAGGCGTCTCAACACCAGTCTCAACGGTAGGTTTCGAAAATTGAGAAATGGACTTCGTGTGTGTAATGAGCTATATTTGATTACTTACAGAAACCTGATTTATTGGCGCCAACTGCCAAGTTGGAACCCTTGGATCCTAGCATTGCCCTAGAGCTACCTACAATATCTACGAATTATAAACCTATGCCTCTTAATCAAACTGTAATGGATTGTGTCTTCAATACCAATATGTCAAGTTCTTCAAAGCCAATACGCACTTTAACAGATGCGGAAGCCCTTAATCATGGTATCTCCTCGAAAACTATGCGGTACGAGAGTAATATTAAATTTTTCCTATTTTGGGTTGAGAGCTTACTATGCATTTTCTTTCGACAGAACGAAAATTTACTCTGGTGCCAAAACTGGACAAATTCTCCAAGTACCTTCTTTGTTTGATTTATGTATACGGATATTACAAAAAAATATTGATGGTATAATTATTACATCCTATATAGCTTATAGTACGCATATTAGTCAATTCTCTATTGTATTTTATTTTTGAAGCTTTGGAGTATACGGGTGGAGTACCATTTGAAGTTTTAAGACCGGTATTAGAAAGAGCTACTCCACATCAGTTGTTGGTCTTTGAAGATTATAATCCTTACCTCATGGAGGATAGTGATGTTCTATGGCAATTACATGTCCAAAGAAATTATCGTACCCAGAAACGTTTGGAGAACGAGTCGTGGCGTGAAATGTATTTGGTAAATAATCCATATAATAATTTTATTAAAAACTAATAGACATAAGATGTACAAGCATTTCTTTGTTCGCTTTTCTCAAAGCGCTGTCAAGAGGATCAAGAACGTAAACTTAATTATTTGGCTGATAGCATTAAACAATCGCAGAAAATTGCGGCCGCTCCGGTCCGTAAGACTCAGTTAGCGTTTGTAGATTCTATGGTGAAGCCTCCACGTAATATTCAACGTAAACAAGAACAATTTGGTACCCAAGCGAAGCTGGTAGCCACGCCAGCTGCTCGGGTAGCAAGCTTATCAAGTGTTACTCCTAACGCGGCCAAAACTGATGACGTTCGCTTAAAAGTCGCTTCAAGTATTAGAGATCACGCTCAAGTTTGTAAGTAATTCTGTCACATTATTGTTACTTTTCCTAATAGGCTTCCCTTCTTCAGCTAGTGCTGCTACCGTTCGTCCCAAAAAAGCCCCACTCATGCAAAAAACTTTGCAATTTATACGTGGTCGTCATAAACGTTAAAATTATGTTATGAATATTCTCAGTTGAAATGGTTTTTTTTGTTTTTTTTTTTTTTAGATTAAACATAAGTGCAGACACCTAAGTTAGGCAAATATTAAGCGGAAATGCTTTTTTTTCCTTTTTCCTTAGACTTAATATTTATCAGGCATTGTATCTCCGGAATACGTAAACAAACTATAGTTTTTAAATGTTTTTTTAATTTATTCTTTTTTTATTTACAAATTAACAGAACAATATTTTCCTATCTAGTGTTAAGAAAATTTAGGAATTTCTGTTTATTTATTAAATTATTTAGAATAACCTACGACATTCACATCACAGTTTTTCCCTTTTTTTTTTTTGTTTTTTTCCTCAATTAAAAAATCGACATGTGTTCGACTGTTTATTATCCTACACGGTACACACAATACACACTTGACATCACTTAATAATGAATGAATTACTTAAATCGAAATAATCTTCTTGTTAAGTTACGGCTTTTAGGCATGCATCCGTGTTCAACGGATACAAATGTCTTGCAATTGTAATATACGTTTTAAATTTTATAGTTCAGGTAGGAAATAGGGATATTTTGTTGAAAAAAAAAAGAAAAGAAGATTTTTCCAGACACATGTCTTAAGCAATGGTCATTAGAAAACGAAGAAAGACGAACAAATTTTTATCATCACCCATACGTCTTTACATAAAAGAATTCCTTTACTCGTATCGTTTGTGTCGTAAAGAGAGGAGGGATCTTTTTTTTATGTTAACGTCTTCTGCGTTTTATTTGTAAAGACATTCACGTTAAATTTTTATGCCCTAAACGCAATTTTCTAATATTAAAATTATATAAACATATATATTTCTAATTACATAATTTTATATGCTTATACATAAGCATAAGGTGAATATATAATATATTTGCGTAGAAAGTTTCTTCCCTTTTCTCTATAAGATTTTAAATTATCACGAAATTATTTTGCTGTCAGATTTTAATCAGATATTATTTACCCTCTTATCTAAAATTGTATATTAAAGTCAATTTGAAAGCAAAAAAAAGAAAACAAAAAAAAAGAGGCGAATAGTAATAAATTATTGGAAGAAGGAGAAAAAATGTATTCTCACTCAGATCTTTAAACAATTTTACAGGAAAAACTGTCATCAGTTATTATCTACTAGTCGAAGAAATTATTGATCACATCGAGCAAATAAACCACGAAAATGTTCACAATAACTCCCCATCCCCATTCCCAACACCCTTATCCGATATTTTATGCTTTCGCCGATTCACAAAGTTATAGGTTGCATGAAGCGATTTCTAGATTTATTGAAACTGTGTAAAAGATGTATGCATATAAATAAATCTACGCAGGCCAAGTGCCGCCAAATGTCAATATCAATAGATAAATGCGTTGTTTTAATCGTTCGCAGTAGCTATCGAATGTTCAGAGACGAGAACTATTCGTAGGACTGGAATTTTGCAAAGCAAGTTGCAATCGATACTTTTTCGTATTTCGTATTTATTAGCGTGGAACCGACTTGCCTCAACCTAACGACAGATTTCATTGAAATCTGTCAAAGAGCATCGGCTATACATTAAGCTAAGAGCCACTTGGGAGTTTACGTTTTGGCCTGCATTGGGATTTTCGCTATGAGAACATAGACAACCTGTATATGTTTGGTATAAATAAATTATTGTTCTGTTGTGCTAATTCTATAAAATTATATTGAATTTTTCAACAGAAAAAGAACTGGAACTAACTACAATAATTATATTGTATATAAATAATAATTCAATATATTAATAATTCAATAAAAAGCTAATAAATAATTTTAAATAAATATCAGTTTATTTTATTTAAACACGTGCTATACATGTCTGTATCAGGGAATGCATTTCAGCGATCGCGTAAGGATTGTGAGCTCATAGATATTTAGCGCATACTTCTAGTAGTTCTTGTTGTTTTTTATAGTGCGGTCGAAAAAATGTGAATGGGATAAAATACTGGAGGATTTTAATATGTCTTATTCTCTCCGCAACTATGGATCTATTACTTATAAGTATAAAAAAGTGAGTTGTTATGTAAATAAATAAGTAATAATAAAAAATGTAGGCGTGCGAAAAGAAGAGCAAAACATTTACAACGTTTTTTGTTTGGGTCGATTTTATATTATTGGCAGTCTCTTATACAAATTGCCCAAAGTATACTTTAACTTAATACATTTTAATATAGCTATTTGCTAAATTTATAATATATTTTAATCGTCAAACGTAAGCTGAGCCTACAAACGATATTAAAAAATAAATAAATCACAGCCCGTTTTTTAACTACGAATTTCAAATTCATTAAGAAAAGTTTTGCCAAAAACTCCATTTTCTGCCTTAGTTCTTGTGACTGCGCTGATTTTATAATGACAGCGAATCAAATTTACCTTTTGCGGGGTATAGTTTCAGTAATTGTTAAACCTTTTGATTAATATCTATCAGAGTAAATAATCTTTAAATTATTTGCCTTGTTATTTCTCGCTTCCTTGTGTCTGACGTGCGTGTCTGTTACTCCTGTCATTACAACATTTTCACCTTTTAGCATAGAATCAACTAAGTCGTAGTGCAGTTCTGCCTCCAAACAATAATCGATCGATGTATACTCATAATGTAATACATCCAACCGTGCCGCGGCCAATTCTATAATTTGCTTGACTTTTAAACAGGTAAAAGGTGAAAAATGAATTTTTATGAAACTTGGCTTAGACATACAGCGAAGAGTTTTACAACTATTAAGCCGTATAAATTGGAAATCTACAAGAGCAAATACGCATGACGCTTTCCCCTGAAGCAAATCGTGTAAAACTTCTTTTTTGAAATTATTTTACTGAATTTTTAGGTTACTTCCTTTACTGTCTATGACAAAATGCTACAACATCCGCCGTTTGCAGAGGTATACCCAGAACACCCAGAAAAGGAGGCGGATAAGCGGACATCCCGACTTATGTAATTATCAATCACATTTAACTTTATAAACACTTGGACTTACTCCCTGGTCCAATGCTTGATCTTGTTTCGAAGCACACACCCCTACACTACCCATAGACCTCACCACACCGCTCACGTAGTACAAATGATCCATTTCCTTATTCCTCGTATTACCACAAGTTTGAGAGGCGTATAAATAATGCTATTCTGTTCCAAATTTGCGCTATCTGGAATAGCTAATAGGAGTTTCAATGGCAAAAGCTTGAGTGATTTGTTCGGAATCTTCGGGAACGGTGCAAATCTGATATATCAGAAAGCTGGATGGAAAATGAAAAATCTCCAGCAAGCCGCAGCGAAGCTTTAGATGGTTGCATAGTACCCCATTTAAATGTTCTGAGCAATACAAAAAATTAATTTAAAGCACAATAAATAATTTATTGTATAATCTATGTATGTTTTAGACAAATTTTATTTGAATGCTGTTAAATGCTAATTACTCTTAATTATTCTTAAAACTTGTTGAAATTTTCTAACATTTTATAGGACCTAACGTTTCATCAAATGATCATTCATCATTCTTGTTATCATACAAATACAATTTCCTATCTAGTTAAAACTCAAGAACAAAACAATTGACAATACAAATAAAATAAAATACATGTCAAACACTATAAAAATCTAGTAAACTAAATTTAATTTAATTACAAACCAAATCTAGTTAAGTCTGAAAATACAAAAATTATAAAAATTTAGAAATGAAAAACTGCAAACCAAATATCATTAAAAACTAGGTATACAAAGCTATAAATAAACACTAAATACTTAAGAAAATTGTTAACGTCTATCAACACATTAACAATTTTCTCTCTAAAACGGTTAGGGTGTAGCGTAATCGCATACCGTCATATGCATCCACTTTGATGTGCGACAGAATTATGCTGAATTTGCATAATTCTGTAGCAAAAAGAAAAAAAAAATTTTGTCGCACTTCAGGCGCCCCAATTAATTAGTGATTACGTTAGCATTAAGTCACCTGTTGGAATTAAGTATAAATAGTGAAAATTTGAATAAAGAAATTTAATTGTTATCAGACAATTCAAACAACAAGCGTTTAACTCGCTAAGCTAAAATACAAGGCGTTCAATCCACCTAAGCTCAAAGTTTAGGGACCGTCTCTTGTCGAGACTTATAAGCAGTATAAGAGACGGACAGACTTGGCGCTTATGAAGCCGAGAAGCTTAGGGGTAAACTACGGTACACTTAATCACACTTTGGAAAAATGGCCAGAGAATCTTTCCAATAAACACAATGATTTGTAAGCCCCAAATTTTATTATACTACTACATGAATATCATTATTAATTTCGGTAGGCATTCTACATACGGTATCTACATGCTCAATTTTTCTGAATAGTCGGCTAGGTTAAAACCGCGATTGGCGACTCCGTGTTCAAGTGCAGCAAGGTTTACTTTCGTTGCAACTATGGTGACCGTTCAGTCGGTAAAGGCATAATAATTACCGATTGGGCATCACCCTCTATTGAGTCTAGATCATAAAATTTAAAACTAAATATATCATGATTGTTCGATAAATCATCGGTAGTAGCCGAGAGACCGAAGAAATAGCCCGTAGATAATTCTACATTGTTGACGACAAAGCAGTTCTTCCATTCGCCACAGTTCTCCGTATCGGTCGACACAGATAAAATGTTATTTTTGTAGCGTATACTGATGTGCGTGTCAAAATTGTAATTACGAAAGCGTACTTCGCAACCGGCTAATTGGGTATTTGTTCCATCACGGTCGCGATCATAGCTTCAAGCGGAGTTGTTAACCATCGCGCCTAAATATGGATGTTGGTGCTGAAAATCAAATTTAAAAGAAAAGATGACAATATTCTTGACTGTATAGTGTTTCCATACATTGTGAGGAATTAATACAATCTATATAAAATGAAGAGAATCTCTGAAATAATGAAGGTATAAAAACTTACATTATGAGGTCCACTGTGATTACTATAAGTGTCTAATATATAATATAACTACTAGACCAGAAAAATGATCTTTACTACCGAAAACTGGCCCTGGTTCGTTGCTTGGCGTACCATATGGGAAAACCGTCACCAAATAATTCTGTACATTTGCCGTGAACTTTAAAAGTCACATGAACTTCTCAATTCACAGTTATGCATGGCTGAAGTTATTAAAAAAAAAAAAACGTTGAAAAATCATATCGCATAACTTGAACTTTTTATTCCATCGGAAAATTCCAAATAGTTCCACTTTTTGATTGCTAGTCTGGTGTCAGACTAAAAGCCACTGATTCTCGCATAATATTTTAGCTGAGTTTAATGGAAACAACACTTTCTAAATTCACAAAAAATTACTGTATTCAGAACTTTGCCCATAACTTTCACAGCGTCTACAGAATTTTGCCATTCAGCGAAATTCGGTTTTGACGTTGTGTGATGAGATATCCTATTTTTTTACACAAAGCATGGCCAAGAACCAACAGCCGACCATGCTTATGTTCCAATTAACGTTGTGGTAAAGCGTCCAAGCATTCTTTAACATTAGCGTCAAATTCTCGATCATCGAGTCCGTA